ATGAATCAAATATGTACTTTATTCATTTACAATAAATGTCATAATGTACATCATTCTGATTGGAGCTAAGGGCATACACTGTCTAACAATGATATCCCTAAAATTCAAATGCTACATAAGTAAATAATTCATAGCAACATCATTTGATAATACATCTTATATCACAAATAAATGCAACACACAAAATTTTGTTCATGCTTATTTGAGATTTTCAAGTATTTTCTTTTAGTCTATTGGTTTTCTTAGGGTGAGAGTGTATCCTTCCTTTGTTCTAATTTATACATATATTTCTTTGTGTTAAGTTTATATTTGAATCTTAGGGTGAGAGTGTGTCCTTCCTTAGGGTGAGAGCGTGTCTGTGTGTCTAAATCAAAATCATAACTATTTTGATTTGAACAATCAAAACTTATCGAGATTTGACTGAAAGTCATTGCAGGGAAGTTTAAAAACACACCCACAATTTGATTGGTCCTACTTTCTAGCTTTCATCATCATCATCATCCAAGCGTTATCCCAATTTCCAACTATATGGGGTTGGCTATCAAGAGAGTTTGGCAAAAGTTTTAGTGCTGACTGCTAACCTGATGCAACCCTCCTCCTAGTGTTTTAAAAGTGCAAGGTGAAAAATTTTTAATGTTTCAAAAAATCAAAAAATTCAACGGAATATTAAAAATAGCATTAATTAAAAAATTGCAAACTTTAATTTTAAATTATAATTTTTTTAAAAAACCTATTAGCTCAAATTAGAATATATAAACATAACACATAAAACACAATAGCATATTTAAAGTGAAGAAGAAAAAATAAAATCAAACATAACTTATAAAACATATCCAAGCACTCAACAATTCATGCACATGAAACTTTGAATCTTTTTATTTCTTTTCCAATCACATTATTTCAAATAACTGATGTGACATTAAATGTTTTGAATTCCTAAATCTATGAGCTGCCTTTGTTTGCTTGTTGTAGCTCTGAGAACCCCTCCCCCCCCCTTTTGCTAATATTGTTCATTCATTCTTCTTTATACAAGACATTTTTAAAAGATAAGAAACTATAATTAAAATTATAAAATCATTTTTTTATGTGTAGATTAAAAATTTTAGACCCTAGTGTGGACTTGTTTAGGCTTCCCCCAAGGGGCTTGGTCGTGGGTCTAGAGGCAGAGCCTTGGTCCAGTCACCATGCTTCACAAAGCACAAAAAAATGCAAATTTTAACCAAGGTGCATGCCTGATCTGAGGTGCAAGGTGCATAGGTGCGAACCTTTTCAAAAGTGCTGCACCTGGGTCTAGGTGAGGCACAAGCCTTGAAATGTGCCTTGCTTGTGTGCCTTTTACACCACTACCTCCTCCTTTATCCAAGCTTGTGTCCAGTGGTGTAAGACAAGCTTACACTGGTGGAATTTCCACTTGCTAGCTATATTATGCCAAAAAATTGACATGATCAGGTGACTCTAATCCTTTACTTGTGAATTTCTCCCCAAGTTCTATCTTCATTCATCTTGTCAATCTCTCCCCCCCTCTCTCTCTCTCTCTATATATATATATATAATATATATATATATATATTGTCCAGTAGGACTGCAATCAGTCCTAATTATAATGTACAAAAAACTAAAAAACAGGTTTGAGAACGAGAGGAGAAGAAGAAAGAGAAGAAAAGAAGGAGAAGACGAAGAGAGGAAGTCAAAAAGAGTGTGGGTTATGACATGAATTGTCGCCCCACTCATCTATTTATATTAATAGTTAAAATAGGGGAAAAAACCTGAATTACCCCTACTACTTACATAAGCAAAGAAATAAGAAATATAGCAAACTGAAAATAACTACCAACTACCACTAACATAAATAAACAAAACAGTAGTGGGGACCACATTAATGTTCTCTACACTCCCCCTCAAGCTGGGAATAGATATTTGTCATTCCCA